GTTCCCGCCAAGGGCCCAGGAGGGGACGGTGCTTGACACAGACCCCACCCCGAGCCGCGTCCGCCCGAGGAGATGCCGCTACATGCGGTAAACCACACACAGTGCCGCTTGGCGCCTCTTTCCTGTCACTGGAACGTGGGAACGCGGGGCCTGCAGGCTTTCCTGCTGGGTGGGCCACTTTTCCAGTTTTATACGCACGTGGTACCTCTGCGGTGAGGGGCTTCAATTTTTAAGAAAGTCTCAGACACATGGGTATTTCTTTTTTCCATCTCAGAGTCTCATGTTCCATCAAATTTAAGTCAAATTAAGTTCTCTTGCCTTGAGAAAACTCTGATTCATGACACTGCCCCCCGAGGTCCTGTTCCATTACATCAGCCACCGGCAGACCGAACTGAGCCTCTCAAGGTCTGATCCTGGGAGGGGCGCCGTCACCGAGCCCTTGCCCGTCAACGCTTTGACCATTTCACTCAGCGTAAGAAACGTATAGGATTGTCAATACAAACATAGTCAATATGTATATATAGTGTGTATATATGTGTACACATAGAGTGTACATGGGCTTCCCTGGCGGCTCAGAGGTTAAAGCGTCTGCCTACAGTGCAGGAGAGCGGGGTTCGATCCCTGGGTCGGGAAGATCCCCTGAAGAAGGAAATGGCAACCCACTCCAGTATTCTTGCCTGGAGAATCCCATGGACGGAGGAGCCTGGTGGGCTACAGTCCACAGGGTCGCAAAGAGTCAGACACAACTGAGCGACTTCACTTTCACTTTATAGTGTACATATGTATATAGTACATGGTGTGTATATGTATATAGTGTATGTATATACACACACACACAATATATATACATAGGATTATCTAATTCCAGGTTTGATTAAGTTGACAAAAGTATTTGAAAATGAGTGACTTCCCGAAATGAGGGCTCAGGTGTGTTATGTGCATTGGCTTCAGCATAAAGCGAGCCCGCTGGTAACGGGGTCACCGGCTTGCCCGCCGTCCTCCGTAAAGACCCAGGCAGGGCTCTCGAGCGTCGTGGCATTGAGCTGTGCCCTCCATCTCATGTGAGTGATCTGCCTCCCCAGGGGCTTCTCGGGGCGTCTCCCCGCTCGTCCTACCCCACTTCACTCTCAGTGAGACGTGCACGCCTAGAGTCAGAGGCCTTGCATTCCTGCTTGTTCACACTACTGTGAGTCTCAACGTTCACGTATCCTGGCCTTGGACAGATGGACCCCCGCCTTTCTGTGAGAGCCCCTGACGCTCACGTCACACAGCCACACAAGCCTTGGGACTCGGTGGCTGAGCAGACACACCCCGTCTTCCCCACGGGTGCTCCCTGCCGGCCGTGAGTTCATGTGAGGGGAGATGGCATCCCCATGTGCAGGGTCATGCCCAGGCGGTTATCAAGCCTGTTTTCACACTGTGCTTTGACCCTAGTAAAAGTAAAACAAAAATGAAAAGTGCTGGTGAGAAGCACCAGTGTGGTTTTTTTTTATTTCCTGGCCACACCCCATGGTACGGGAGATCTCAGTTCCCCGACCAGGGATGGAACCCGTGCCCCCTGCAGTGGACAGGCATCTTAACCATGGCCATGATGGCCAGGGAAGTCCCCCAGCAGAACAAGGTGGGTGGCATGTAGGGTGAACCCTCTGAGAGCAGTGGGCATGTTGCTTCATCTGGATGTTCGCTGGACCTAAGCCAATCTGCTCTGCCCAGTTGTGAAAGCAAAGAAGAAGAGGGAACAAGTGTGAAATGTCGAAACTCTACAGTCAAATGCTGAATTTTAAGGGCAGATTCAGTGAGAGGTTTTGCGATTTCACTTAATGTGCGCTGGAACGCCCCGAGAAGGTGGAAGTTGGGTGTTTAACTCTCAGGGGTTTCCCTGTGCTTTTAGAAAACACTCAGCATGAAAAGTCATTACACAGCACATCTGGTCCCTTGGGTTCTGGAAGGCTGTCTCTTCCCCCTGGGGGTGCACCCCTTCCCTGCTGCACCCTTGCCCAGCACCCTTTAGGAGACTTCTCTTGTGGTGTTATCGCTTTTGCTTTTGACCTTTTTTTTGCCTCGAATAAAAAAAGAGGTTCATGCTATTACCCCATTGACATCCCTCTGAGTCAGGTAATATAAGCATAAATAATCTTTAGTAATTGCCAGTTATACTGTGGATTTCCCATCATTTGTTCAGCCATTCCCTGATTGGTGACTTTTCATTAGTTCTGATGATTTCACTTGACTCTGTGCAGTCCGCACCTGTATTTGTACATGATGGTGCTGTTGACTTTGTAAGCTGGATTGCCAGAGGCAGAAACCAAGGGTCCAATGACATGCACTTCTTAAGATTGAATTGCTTTTGCCACGTTTCTTTCCCCCAATTGCACGGCAGTTATTTCTCCTTCTGGCGATACAGGGAGTGCCTTTTACGTCTCATCTGAGATTCCTTCCGGTTGAAGAAGTGAAAAGGCATTTTGTTGTTCCTTTCGTGTGTGCTTTGTGGACGGCCAGTGAGCTTGAGCGACTTTTTACGTAATTGCATAATTCTTTGCGGTCTGTGTTTCGTTTCTATTCCTATAAGTTACCCCTTCACGTGTTCTTTGCTGGTTTTTCTACTGGTTTGCTTTCTTTGTTTGTGTATTAGAGTGGTCTTTTCTTTCTTAAATCACTGATGACTCAGTTCTGTTGATAGTAGATAATATCATTTTTAAGTGTACCTAACCTTGGAAAATAAAAACATAGTCATCTTCTCTTGAACGCTGTCCTCAGTCTTTATCCATAATTCTGCTGGCCTGAATCTAAAACCCTGGGAAGCACCTATCTAACCCACTTCTTTGTTTTCTTTTATGTTCCTTTAAGGTAAAAAAAAATGCATTTTTTTCTTTAGAAAAGTAACACAACATTATGATTTTGAAAATAGTAGTGTTGCTTCCCTCACACCTGAGTTGCTTTCTTATTGGTTCATAGGAGTTTTTGTCTGTAAATACCTGCTTTTTGGCATATGTGTTACAGATATTTTTCTTCCCCTTTTTTGGTCTTTTGCTCTTTGTATAGTATCTTTTGCCATAAATTTTTCTTTCTTTCTTTTAAATTGAAGTATAGTTGATTTATAGCATTTCAAGTGTACAGCAAAGTGATGCAGTTATATATATATGTGTGTGTGTGTGTGTGTGTGTGTATTTTTCATTCTTTTCCATTCTAGTTTATTACAAGATACTGAATATAATTCTGTGTGCTATACAGTAGGTCCTTGTCGATTACCTGTTTTATGTACTGTGGTGAGTGTTTATTAATCTCAGACTCCTAACTTATCCCTTCCCCTTCTTCCCCTTTCGTAACCATGAGTTTGTTTTCCCTGTCTATGAGTCTGTTTCTGTTTGCATAGAAGTTCATTTGTATCAGTATCTTTTCGATTCCACAGGTAAGTGATAACCATGTGATATTTATCTTTGTCTGGTTTGTTTCACTTACTGTGATAATCTCAGGGTCCATCCATGTGGCTGCAAGGCATTATTTCATTCATTTTTATGGCTGAGTAACATTCCATTGTACACATACTGACATCTTCTGCGACCCTTCATCTGTTAATGGACATTTAGGTTGCTTCCCTGTTTTGGCTGTTGTAAACAGCACCTCAGTGAGCGTAGTAGTGCGTCTGTCCTTTTGAATTAGAGTTTTATCAGAGTGATACATGATTCCTCTGGTAGCTGACGTTTAGTTGTCTAAGGACCCCCGATGCTCTCTCCTCTCAGTGCCGTGAGCTTTTGAACCTCTTTGTGTTCTTTGTTTGGTTTTTTTTTTTAATGCCATATCGTTTTCCTCCCAGGACGCTGTATTTTTTTTCTTGCTAAATTTATCCTGTGGTGTTTTAGAATTTTTGCTGCTAGTGTGAATGGAATTTTTTTTTTTTTCCTTTCAGCTGGATCTATGACAGGGACAAAAGCTGTTGATTTGTATCTACTTGTTTTGCTTCCAGACAGCTTACTACATTTCCCCCAGTTTTTAGTCTATGGAGTCTTTTAGGCTTAGAGTCAGATCATTTCCAGATAAAAATCATTTTATCTCTTTCCAATACTTCCTTGTTTCTTTCATCTGTGGTACATACAGGTTGTTAGGGCTTCTGCTAAAACCTCTCTTAGGGGTAAAAACTGCATCCTGATGGGCGTCTGAGCCTTGGCCGTGCTGGGTCATGGGGTCACATTTGCTCTTCATAGCCGAGGATGTGGTAGCGAGTGAGCTGGGTGATGCGGGCTGCTTCCTTGTCAGCTAGAGTCTGAGCCCTTTAAAGCTGGGAACCACGTCCTCCCTTATTTCACGGCCCTCAGAGCCCAGCAGAGGATAGGGCACACGGCAGACGCACGCTGGACTGGCAGATGTATTGAAGGCGCCCCCCGCTCTCCTCTTCTAGACCCCCCACCCGGCTTCTTCCCCGGAGGCAGCTCTGCCCTGCGTCCTCTGCATCCGATGACCAAGTGCTGTCTGCCCAGAGGGCCCGTCTCCCTTGCCCACGCTGCAGAATTTACTTTTCGAGCCTCTAGGCCCGAGAAGGTCCCTGTCTCAAAGTTAGTCATCACCACCTAGAGGGCTTGGTAAAGAGCAGACCGCGGGGTCACCCCCCTGCTTTCCGACTCAGTCCACCTGGGGCGGGACCCGAGAGTCTGGCGTTTCTGAGAACCAAGTCTGATGCTGTGGGACTGGGCAGTGCCGTTTGAGAACTGCTGCTCAAGACTGGAGGTGGTGACCTCGTGGATGGAAGGCTCAGAGTTCTTTGCGTGAACCAGGCAGATTCTGGTGCTGGCCCCAGTTCTGCTCACGGAGCCAGGTCCCCCTCCCTTCACCTGTGGGGCGTCTGTGGGCCTGTCCTCCCCCCTCCACCACTGCGAGCCCCTGCACGGACTTGGGGTGTGCGTCCGGGACACGCAATAACCATCTTTCACTGGGGAGGCAAATGCCAAGTGAAAGGCATTGTCCGGGCTTGACGGGAACTCGCTCCCCTTTCCACCCTCTCTCAGCCTCTGCGCTCCGGTACCTTCACGAGAACAGGATCATCCATCGGGATCTGAAGCCAGAAAACATTGTCCTGCAGCAAGGGGAGCAGAGAGTGAGTGACCCCGTGGGCCAGCCTCAGGGAGGGGTGGGCGAGCGTGGGCTGAGCAGCTGGGGGCAGGCAGTGGGGGCGAGGACTGCGCTGTGTGGGTCTGCTTACTTTTGGGTTTCCTTGCTCACGTATTTGCTTTGATTCTCTGGGAGTGCTCTTTGAATCAAAACAAAATCCGGTGAAAAGTTCAGGCTCACAGATTGAAGCCAATTTGAATGGACCACATTGTTAACCGTCCCAAGTTGCAGGAATCTGATAAGAAAAATAATGTTTGTCTTCCAACTGCCTCCCCCCTACTCCCACCCCAGCCTTTGGGCCTCACACTTCTTGGAAACGGACTATTTTTGTTTTCTATTTGTTTGGGAGCCTCAGCTTTTGAAGCTCACAGGGAATCCAGCTGTAGGTGGGTTCTGGACATGGCCGAAAGGATGTATTTGGAGCTGGCCTGGTCCAGCCTGCCGTTTCCCCAGAGTTCTCGGGGGCCCCCCCGCTCAGGTGTGGGGTCACCTCCCTGCAGGGTTGGGCCGTGTTTGTTCAGCTGGGTGGGGAGCAGGGCTCAGACAAGTGGAATGCAGCCGCTCAGCCGTGGGCCGCCTGATTTCTCCCCCGCAGCTTTCGTCAGCATCCCGGCGTAACCCACGCCCGTCCTAGCCCTCACCTCTGCCCCTGTTCACTCATTCCCGGCAGTGCATCGGAGGTTTGAGAATTTAAGGTGTTTACTGAGAAGGAACCCCGCCTGGTCCTTCGCGTCAGGTCAAGTCCGGGGTTCACAATCCTGACGGCTGGTACACGGTCTCCTAATTCTGACCTTCCTCTAGCAAGTGATTGCCAGGCAAGGGAGGACACGCGCCTGGCATTTTTACATTGTTTTCTTTTGCCTGAACCTCCTGCATCTAGGCATTCTGTGTATTCGGCGGTCCTGAGGAGCTTAGGTTCTTAGAACTGGGAATTCAGAGATACACCCTCTGCTCCAGCGAGGTGTTGAGGATTCTTGAAGGACAGTGGACTCTTATAACCATTAGATGTCTCTCCCTCCCTGTTTTTTCTTTCAGTTAATACACAAAATTATTGACCTGGGATACGCCAAGGAGCTGGACCAGGGCAGCCTCTGCACTTCCTTCGTGGGGACCCTGCAGTACCTGGTAAGAGGCGGGGTTCCCGGCTCCGCGCGTCAGCCTCTCTCGGGAGGCCGTGGCCGCGGGGCTCTGCTTCCTCCCTGGCCTTCTGCGTCTGAGCTTGCCGGCTCTCTGGATGATTCCTGGATGCACAGGAAACACGCTGGTGTGTGAGGTCAGACTCCTCATCCTCCCAGAGGCCCTGTGGAGGGACACGGTCACCCTCTTGTGTCTAAAGGGCTCGGCTCCTGGGCTGGCGCGTGTCCCGTAACCCTCCTGTGATGCCGTGTTTTGACCCAGAGAGTTTAAACCAGGTTCCCGCTGCTCTAGAGGGGCCTCTGTTCCCACCAGAATATTGTGGTTCTATTTGAGTCCCCCATTCATCCAAGAAATACTGATCACCTGTGGTTTTTCTTTTTACGTTTTATTTTTTGGGGGGAGGGGAACCACATTGCATGTGCATATATTTAAGGCTTTTTAAAAAAAATTGTTTAATTGGAGGATAATTGCTTTACAACACTGATGGTTTTTGCCGCACATCAGTATCCATCAGCCACAGGCATACACGTGTGCCGCCGCATCCTGAGTCCCCGCCCACCTGCCTGCCTCCCCACCCCATCCAGGGTGCTGGCTCTGGGTGCCCTGCTTCATACATCAAACTTGTACTGAAATATATTTCTTTCTTATGCTAAGAAAGCCACTTTGCTTGGAACCCAGTGCTTCCCAAACTTATTTTTCCTGGAAGCTCTTCCTCACTTCCTGCAGATGTGCCGCAGGTGCCCTTCTATGACCTGGTGTTGGACCTGGAGGGTGAGAGGGTCCAGGGGCTGCGGGATGAAGACGGAGTTCCAGGCGCGGGGGCAGGAGGCGTCCGGAAGGCATGGCCGGAGCCAGAGAAGGAGGAGGAAGGCATCTCGAGTTGAGGCTGGAGAGAGGGGCAGGGGACAGATCATTCAGAGCCTCGCTGGCTGTGTTAGAGATTCCAGTCTTTATCCTGAAACCTCTGGAGAGACGGTGAAGGCCCTTAAGTGTGAGAGGAATCAGGTTTACCTTCGAAGAGACCACACTTGGCACAATGCGGAGGGTGACTTGCAGGCAGTGGGCGAGTGGTATGGAGGCCGTTGAGGTGGGCTAGTCTGAGCTGGTGGGTAGTCGTGAGGATGTAGAGAACGGCTCAAGAAGTGCCTGAAAGAGGGGCATCCATGGGGGTCCAGTGGTTAGGACTCCACGCTTTCACCACCAGGGGCCAGAGTTTGATCCCTGGTTGGGGAACTAAGATCCCGCAAGCCACGCAGTGTGGCAAAAAAGAAACATAAGCAAACAAACAAATAACAACAACAACAAAAAACAAGGCCTGGATCAGGCTCAGCAGGACTTGGTGATAGATTGCATGCAAATGATGATCAGGAAATGTGGACTGAATAACAGAGTCTGCAGTTTATAAAAGAAAAACGAAAGTTGAAAGCCACTGGGCTCCATGAGCTTAAATAGCCTACCCGGGTCTTACATAAAAACGAGAAAAAGCAGTCATTGAGGTCCTTGTGAGTGCATCCACACTTCCCACTAGCCCCCACTGGGCAGTGGACGCTGTCCTTTTATCCCCTGCTCTAGGGGGTAGAGGTTTCTGGGCGAGGATCCGGGGCTGTGACTTAGCACCTGTGCCCACAGAGCCGGATCCTGGGGGTCCCGCCCTATGTCCTCTGGACCCCTTGTCAGCTCAGCAGCAGTGAATGCAGGGCCCGAGCTCTGACCACTCGGGGGGCCAAAACGTCTGTCCAGAGCCAGACACAGAGGCCGAGCTGACCTTCCCACACCTCTCCTCTGGGCTTGTGGAACGTCTGCCCTCAGGCACCCTGAGCTGGCCCCACCCCGCCTGTGCTGGGAAGCTTCCTGTCACCCCAGCCTGACTGCTCGGGCAGCTGGCCTATCCTGCCCGACTGTAGCATTCTGTCCCGTCGTGGACTGCGTTAGGGGACTGGCCGGCATTCGTTGCATACGCTGCGCCTGGGTTTGTGTGGCCTGGATCACTTCCCCTTGTGGCCCTGCCCAGAGCCTGGGAGAAGCGTGCACAACACTGCAGTGGTGAGTGAGGCCCGGGCCCGGCCCCCGGGAGGGTGTCCCCCGTCTTCGTCAGACGTCGCCTCGCCTTCCCGGTCTCATGGGGTGCCCCGCGCTGGGCCTGAGACGCCTGTGATCTGTCACCCGAGGAAGTCCTATCAGGACCTGGCTTTAGTCTGAGCTCCTAAAGCCTGGAGAGATGGACTGTTAAGTGTCGGCCTGGATTCTGCACCTCAACAGCCTTAAATCCAGTGTAAATGACTGCTCTATGCGGGGCAGGAAGCCAGTGTGTTTGCAGAATGTGTGTGGGGGGTGGTGTGCGCTTATGCCAGCAGCACGCTCTGTTGATAAACAAGCAAAGGGCCTGTTCACGTGACAAATAATGAGACGTATGTATACGAAAGTTTATTGTTGACAAATTTTACTGCACCTCGGTACAAACTTTTTTCTTTTTTACATATGGTAATATACACTTTTTTTTTTTTATGGTAACATACGCGTTTCAATGCTATTCTCTCATATCGTCCCACCCTCGCCTTCTCCGAGTCCAATAGTCTGTTCTTGACATCTGTGTTTCTTTTGCTGCTTTGCATATAGGATCATTACCGTCATTCTAAATTCCATATATATGCGTTAATATACTGTATTGGTAAAAGAATGAAACTAGAACACTTTCTAACACCATACACAAAAATAAACTCAAAATGGACTAAAGATCTAAACGTAAGACCAGAAACTATGAAATTTGGTTTTAAAAGCACCAGACAGCGACTTAAAATGTGAGCTGAGTACACTGCCAAAAAGATACTTTCTAATAAGGAATATGATTAAGGTTTTTAAAACTATTCTGTATTTTTAAACTTTTCTTCTAATTGTAATATTAATATGTGGTTCATTATATACATAAAAGTTAATCATTACTGAAAAGCATCATTTAAAAGTTAATGTTCCCTTGAACCAATGAGGGTTCATTCACAATGATTCCTCGAGGGACCACACGCTAACTGAAACGATAGTACCATTGTCCAGAATTTTTTATCTCCAGCTTTAGTGTTTGGAGCAGTGCTGAGTTCATGGGATTCATCCTTCAGAAAGCAGAAGAGTGAGAAGTCACCCCACACCACCTGCTTGGTCCACGCCCCCGCCCCCAGCACAGACGCCTGGCGCTGTTGGCTTTGGGTCCATCTCCAGGGATGTTCTGTACGTCCACAAGCGAGCGGGCATGTATCTGTCGGCTGGCTCATTTGTGGATTTCGCCCCTTCTCACCTCGGTGATGACACCGCAGGCACGCCGCCCTGGGAGTGCTCCTCCAGGGTTTTTACACTGAGGACTTCCTCCTGCCGCCACTAACACCTCTCCATCTCCAGACTCTTCTGTGTGCCTGTGTTTGTTCAAAACACAAAGTAGGTTACCACACGCACTCTCATAGAACCTGCCTTTCACACGTAGCTGAAACAACTCGTTGTAGGGAAGTCCTGGTCCATCCACAGTTATTTCCCTGGGATATGTTCCTAGAAGTGGGATCAACATACCAAAGATCGTGCACATGATCAAGGTTTTTGGTTTTTACTAACAGCGTGCTGCACAGTTTGTATAAATAACATTTCCACCAGGAACAAGGAGAGGTCCCCCCACCCCCCGCTCTTTGGGGCAGCACTGGCTGACGTCATGTTTCTCAGTATCTTTCTGGAAGTACCAAAAACACGGACTTTCTCAAAGGACGTGGGTACTTACATCATGAGAATGTTTATCTGTAAGACCAAGACGTAGCCTTTGAAATCCGTTCAAGAAGACTGGCTTTCCGTGACGCAGGCCAGTTTGGTCACCATTTACACATCAGACACTGGAAAAGACCCAGGCTCAGTCTCCGCGCCCAAGGGGCCTGGTGACGTGGCGGAGGGCGCCCTCCCATGGGGACTGGCGGTGCTGACTTAGTTCCTTGCGTTACAGTCACACCACATCACACGACCATCACGACAGCGACTGTAAACTGTCTGTACATACGTCGTGTTTTTAACTCCCCGAGGGATGACCGCAGTTCTCCCATTCAATGTTGAGCGTTTTCCATTATTTATAGCAAGGTGAATCAGAATCCATCAGACCTAGAGGAAATGCCGTTTGAAACCATCCCTGATGGCCTGGCCATCTGCAGAGCCAGCCTCCCTCACTTTGTCTTGAGGCCAGGTGACCCCTTTCAAGCACACATCTCTGAAACCCGAGAGTTTGTGAGACGTACCTGTCTGGTCTGCCTGCAGTGCCTTAGGCAACTTTAACAATTTCACTCACATCTCAAACGGCAGGTAGATAGTAATTTCAGAACAAATGCAATTTGGGCTTTATTATCCTATCATAAAGGTGCTTTGAAGGACCAGTCTTGAAAGTACGTTTTAGGACCAGCCTCAGCAGTGAGCGTCTCACTTACTGTGTCCTTTTATTTAGCTGTGTAATTTCCGATGGACAAACTTTTGAGTTTCTATCAGAGCACCATCCCACCATGTGTAATGACAGCCTGGCTTCATTGACAGCAGGCGGTTCGAGCCCCACCCTGGCTCTTCAAGGCTCCGTGTGCTCCTTGTGGCTCAGTCTACCCCCTCTGCCAATGAGACTTCAGGCTAAAGCATCTTCTGTCTGGATCTCCAGCATCTTTTTGGAAAGGAAGGACACAAACATTCAGAGTGGAAAGAGCACCTGCCCTTGGATCCAAGTCCCTGGTTCTGTCTTTCTCTAGTTGTGTGACCTTGGGCAGGTCATTTCCTCACCTGGTGAGGGTAGGGGATGGAGGACTGAAAACCGCCTGCCCCACGGAGGTCTCAGGGCAGAGAAGGTGCGTTCACTGTCAGCGCTTGATTCTCTGTGAAGCGTTGTTCAGACTCCTGTCATCACGTTTGTCGCCGAGAACATGTGAAGCCAGTTTAAAATCTTTTTTCCTTAAACACTATTTCAGATACATCAAAAGGGTCTCCCTAATTGGAAAACGTTAGCACTTCACTTGCCTTCAGAAGTCAGGCATAGCCATTGCATTTAGAGGAAGTACATGGTGTGTGCAGATTTCACGTGAAGGAACCGTGGTGCGGACATCCTATCTTCATTCTTTGTGTTAGATGGAAAGTAAAAGAACGAGCAGGATGGGCCGGGGTGAGGTCAGGAGACAGCGGTACAGGCCTGCAGGTTCCTGACTGTCAGGGCAGTACTGATGCCCTTAACCTCCCAAAGATGCATCCCAGCGGGTTGCGTGGTTCAGTAGCACCCCGGGGGGGATCCTATCTGATTGTCAAGTGGAAGGTCACCGTGTAAGGGGCTGTTGGGCGCCTGCTGACATCAGGGTCACTACACACAGCGTGATGGTCAGGTGTCCACGTCCACAGGCACTCCAAAGTCCGGCAGAAGAGCGAGATGGACATCGTGGTGAGTGAGGACCTGAACGGGGCCGTGAAGTTCTCCAGCTCGCTGCCGCACCCCAACAACCTCAACAGGTATGGCCCCGGACTCCCACCCTCCCACCTCCTCCTCCTCCAGTCCTGCCTTTCTAAAGACGGAGGTCAGGCCGACGTCCCCGGCAGCTGTGACCCCCGGTCCTGCTGTCATCCGTCTGGGTCTTAGCACGCCGTCCCCACCCTGCCCGTCTGGAGTCACCTCCTCGGCTCCCAGCATCGCTTGCCACCCTCCTCACCCGTGGTGGCTCTGCCTTGCCCGCGTTTGGTCTCGCAGAGGGCTTATCTCCTGGTCAGCCGTAAGCCTCTGAAGGGTAGGGAATTGCCCCTTATTGCTCTTTGCCCGTCCTCCTGAAGCCCAGCACTGTGTTGTTGTCAACAAATAAACCTTTGCATTTTGAACAGCATAGCGATCTGGTCTCAGAGCCAGGATATGAGCCGTCTGGTCATCTTACCAGAACCGGGAGATGGTTCGGAAGACAGCAGTCAGCAGCCCCATGGCCGAGGCACGGCTCAGAGTTTCCATGAGTCTTTGGAGGACGGGGAGGGGGTCCCCTGTGGAGGAGCTGGGCTAGAACTTCCCGGAAGGATCTGGACCGATAGGCAGAGCGGGTGGATGAAGAGGAAGGCTCTCCAGGGGGGAAAGACTTGGGGGCGGCCAGGGAGAGGCAGCGGGTAGCGATGTTGGCCTCTGGAGGGCTTCTGTCGGGGGCAGGGAGGAGTGCTGGGGGTGCCCAGCAGTGCGGCATGGACCCCTCAGACGCTTTCCAGGGAGTGACTGACAACCTGGATCGAAGTCCTCGATGCGGGAGGGGGCTGCTCAGCACCTGGAAAGCTGCCTGGAGGGTCTCGCATGGCCCTCTGCCCAGAGGTCCCCGATGGGAGGGTTTTTGCACGAATCTGGTGGGGGCGAGGGATTCGAGCCCCCGAGTGATTCATCTTGTTAGGGGAAGGCTCACCCTTCCTCAGTGATTCAGTCTCAGGGATCACTTTGGCCCCATTCTGTGATGGTCACGTGGAGCGTGAGAAGCATATGTGCTTTTCGGTCCCCACGTGTGCCGAGAAGCTGGTGCTGGGCCTCACACACATGCACGCACACACATGGGACGGAAAGCTGGTGCTAGGCCTTGCACACACCTGCGCGTACATGCACGCACATACATGGGATGGGAAGCTGGTGCTGGGCCTCACTCATATGCACACACACGAGATGTGAAGCTGGTGCTGGGGCTCGCACGCACGCACGCATATGCATGCACACACATGGGACAGGAAGCTGGTGCTGGGCCTTACACACACACACATGCACGCATATGCACACACACATGGGACGGGAAGCTGGTGTTGGGCCTCACACACATGCACATGCACACACATGTGGGATGGGAAGCTGGTGCTGCGCCTCACGCTCATGCACACAGGAGACGGGAAGCTGGTGCTGGGCCGTGCACGCACACATGTGGGGCGGGAAGCTGGTGCTGGACTTCATACACATGTGCGCACATGTGGGGTGGGAAGCTGGTGCTGGGCCTCACACACGCACATGCACGCACACATGTGGGGTGGGAAGCTGATGCTGGGCCTCATGCACATGCATGCACACACGTGGGGCGGGAAGCTGGTGCTGGGCTTCACACATGCACATGCACGCACACATGTGGGGTGGGAAGCTGGTGCTGGGCCTCACACACGCACATGCATGCACACGTGGGGCGGGAAACTGGTGCTGGGCCTCACACACGCACATGCATGCACACACGTGGGGCGGGAAGCTGGTGCTGGGCCTCACACACGCACATGCACGCACACACGTGGGGCGGGAAGCTGGTGCCGGGCCTCACACACGCACATGCACGCGCACACGTGGGGCGGGAAGCTGGTGCCGGGCCTCACACACGCACATGCACGCACACACGTGGGGCGGGAAGCTGGTGCTGGGCCTTGCACATGTGCGTGGGCGCGCCTACACACACACACACATCCCGGCCCTCTCTCAGCGTCCTGGCCCAGCGGCTGGAGAAGTGGCTTCAGCTGATGCTGATGTGGCACCCGCGCCAGAGGGGCACCGACCCCGTCTACGGGCCCAATGGCTGCTTCAAGGCCCTGGACGACATCTTGAACTTGAAGGTGAGCCTGCACCCAGTCCTCCCCAGGCCGTGGACCCCCTGACCCCTGTGAGGGTGTGATGGGACCCTTGCTGACTGACGGGTCATGAGGCGCTCACCGGGGATGCACAGGAGGGGAGAGACTCCGGCCTGCAGACCCCAAGCGGGGCTTCCGAGAGGCCGGGCCAGCAGGCAGGCATCCCCGTCGAGCAGTGTCTCCCATGACCCCCCCGTGACCCCGGGTTGTTGCAGCTGCTTCACGTCCTGAACATGGTCACAGGCACCATGCACACGTACCCTGTGACCGAGGACGAGAGCCTGCAGAGCCTGAAGGCGCGCATCCGCCAGGACACCGGCATCCTCGAGGAGGACCAGGAGCTGCTGCAGGAGGCGGGGCTGGCCCTGATCCCCGACCGGCCCGCCGCGCAGTGCCTCTCGGACGGCAAGGTGAGCCCGGCCTCCTGCGGCCACCGGGCGGCCCGGCAGCCGCCTGCCCATTCCGAGGTGGGAACACGAGATCCCGCGGGCTTGGTAGGAGACACAGGTCGCCCCACGCTTTACCTGTTCCTTCCAGACCACTGGGCATGCCTTTTGCCCTTGCCGCCAAAGCGATGCTTCATTCTTCCACGTCAACCGGAACTGTTTCTGACCCCCCTGACATGTGCAGCACCGTGCTGACTGCTGCACAAAACGAGCCGCAAAGTTAACACAGGGGAAGAGGAATTGGACAGTAAAGGAGATGGTGGGCATTGAGTTACACGATAAAGACGGGGGGTAGACCAGAATGTGCTACGCTGTAGATAAGGTGTGCGCTCAGGTAATAAGCATAAAGGGCACCGCCAAGGAGAGCAGAGGCCAGAGGCGCTGGCAGAGGCCTGGTGGGCGCCTGGCACATCCTGGCCTAGGATGCTCTGTAGGCTCCCGCATTTCTTGGGGGAGACGGTGGGGTGGGGGCCGCGAGACCTCATTTTGCCTCTGGTCCCCTTGCAGCTGAACGAGGGCCGCACGCTGGACATGGACCTCGTTTTCCTCTTTGACAACAGCAGGGTCGTCTATGAAAGCCAGGTCTCCCCACAGCCCCAGCCGGAAAGCGTCAGCTGCATCCGTAAGCACGGCCTGTTCTTTTAAAAATGGATCCCTTACAGCTCTCAGGACAGAGCGGGGGGAGAGCCCTGGCCACGGGAGGGGTCCCCCAAGCAGGCGAGTCCACCCGGTCCTCAGACAGCCATCTTCAGTCGCACGTGTGAGCAGCAGCCCCGCCAGAGGCAGGACAGGACGTCTTCAGCTAATTTCGGCCTCATCTAAACAGAGGACAGAGAAGATGGCCCATGGGCCGTTGACCTTAAATCGCAAAACCATTTTATTTTTGAAGTTGTCTTTATATGTTAGTAATTAATACACACACGTGATACCAAAAGGCACAATAGAATCATACAGTAAAGAGTAAGCCCCTGCGTGTCCCCAGTTTCCCAGGGAAGACTGCTCCAAACTCCTGGGTCTTCCTTCCAGGGTGTTCTGTGCTTCTGTAAATTTGGACGTGTGTGTACAGCGGGGTGCAAAAGTGAGCAACACCCAAGCAGGCCCAACACCCAAGGCGGTTGTGTAACAGCTGAGCCAGCGGGCTCCGGGGGCGGGGTGCCGGCGTCCAGCGCAGGCACTGCGCCCTGATCGTCGCCTGTGTTTCCGTTCAGTACAAGAGCCCAAGAGGAACCTCCCGTTCTTCCAGCTGCGTAAGGTGTGGGGCCAGGTCTGGCACAGCATCCAGGCACTGAAGGAAGACTGCAGCCGCCTGCAGCAGGGCCAGCGCGCAGCCATGTAGGTGCCCCGAGCGCCTGGTGGCCCGGCCGCAGGGCGGGGGCCCGCGGTCGGTCATCGTCGGGAGGGGCAGGAGGGAGACACTGCTCTGGACGGGCGGGAAGCCATCGGTGGGCGGGATGGTGTGGTCCGTGCAGAGCAGGGGTGTGGACAGGGTGGGGGGCGGCCGGCCGGAGGGCTGGCCCGGCTCCACTGTGGGTCGGCCACCCTGCCAGGCCAGGCCAACTCCTTCCCCAGGTTGTGGCTGGTCTGGGTTCCTTTGCGTGGCACTTCACCTAATTCCAGTCTCGGAGCAGAGCCTCACCCATCACCACGGGCCAGGAAATTGTCGTGAGGGTTATAAGTGGCTGTTCTTGTTATGATTATACTAATTATAACAGGGGCCTGCCAAGGTGTTGGAGGCCGCTTTTATTACTGTCTGGGGAGTGGTACCTGGATCCCAAAGACGCCCATGGTGTGTCTCTTGGGGGCCCCTGCAGGATGAATCTGCTGCGGAACAACAGCTGTCTGTCCAAGATGAAGAACTCGATGGCTTCCATGTCCCAGCAGCTCAAGGCCAAGCTGGACTTCTTTAAGACCAGCATCCAGATTGACCTGGAGAAGTACAGGGAGCAGACAGAGTTTGGGATCAGTGAGTGCGTCCTTTGCAATCAGTCTGGAGAGACCATTAAACTCTTCTTTCTCAAGTGTTTTTTTGTTCTCTTATAACGGAGTTCCTTTTTACTTTCTTGGTTTTGGGGTGTTTTCATTTTGTGTTTTTTTCTTCCCTCCATGTTTTTCCTCCAGCGTCAGACAAGCTGCTGCTAGCCTGGAGGGAAATGGAGCAGGCCGTGGAGCTCTGCGGACGGGTAGGAGGCTCCCTAGGATCCCCAGCCCGACTGAGGGCACCCCCTTCCCTGCCATCTTTCCCCTTTCTCACTGAGCGCTCAGTCCAGCTTCTGTGTCGGAAATCACATCTTCCTCGCCAAGGCTCCCTGCCCCCAGCTCGCACTTGCTGGCAGGAGGCGGGGTTGCCATGCAGAGGTCCCCACTGTGGCCGGTCCGGGAGCCACACAGAGTCAGGCTTACGACGCGACGTGTCCCGGGGAGTGCAGACCTCTTCCCGCGAGAAGGGCCCTTGGATAAAGGAGTGGCACTCGGTCATGTCAGAAGTTGCCCTGACCTCCTCCTCGGGACACTGAACCCATAGGAAGGAACGGGTCTGAAGGGGCAAGTCTGAGTGCTGTGAATCAGACGCCGCTGAACAGTGTCGATCATGAGGCTGGGGAGGCGGAGTGCCCTGGTGGACCTCACTCGGAAGCCTGGGCTCCAAGGCCTTTTCCTGGACGTTTCCATCATCTGCCCAGTGAACTCAGGCAGGGAGCCTCCCTCCCCTCCATGTCGTAGCATCTGTTTCTGTAAATCGGTGCCAATGTGCCTCGTTCGAGGTGGGCGATCCCTTGTTCAGGCACTGGGACGCAAGCCACCACTCCACACCCATCCCCGTCCCCCCAATCTCTGTCCTCGTGGGCGTAACCCCTGAGATCAAGGATGAGTTAGGAGAGGGGAGCATGCTCCAGCTGGTCTCCACCCCGGGGCCAGGCCAGGTCCTCTCTGGCCCCATCACATCTCGCCCTAGTCTGCGGTAGGGGAGACAGCAGCTTGGGGCCAGGGTGACCTGCCCCAGGGCCACACAGCTGGCGGGTGTCAGGCCCAGATCCCAGCTGCGGACTCCCAAGTCCATGTCCCTTCTGGCTGGGCAGCTGAAGGTCTGTGGTAAGGCCCGAGGACTCCCCTGAGAGCCCAGCGTCCCAGGAGTCCCTGGCCGATTCGGCTGGCCTCAGCGCGGCTCTGTCTCCAGGAGAACGAGGTGAAGCACTTGGTGGAGCGGATGATGGCCCTACAGACGGACATCGTGGACCTGCAGCGCAGCCCCATGGGCCGGAAGCAGGGTGGCACGCTGGACGACCTGTGAGTGTGTGTGTGCGTCTGTGCGGGGTGGGCAGGCTGTTTAAGCGTGGGTCTGCTGGAGCGCGCCCTCCCGTGCAGCCCGGCCCTGGGGAAGCCCTCTTGGCACGTCTGGAAGATGACCCCAGGCAGACCTCCGTCTGTCTGAGCCTCACCTGATACAGAAAAGCCGTCTGACCTCACAGTTGTGGGGAGCAGTTCAGATAAGGCACCGAATCATGGTTCGTGAGCTCCAAAGCATCAGGTCAGATGCCTGGCTACCCAGCATACCCCAACCCGGGCACGGCCCAAGAAGCAGGAAGTAGGAAGGGAAGGAGCCGGGCAAGTCTTAGAAGATAGGACCTTGACTCTTCATTTGAGTCCTGATCAGGACTTGGCCTCGGATCCAGGGACCTCCCCGCTGCTGAGCAGAATAACCCCTCCTGGCATCTTGGGAGCAGATGGGGGCACCAGGAGAGCCTCCTTGGGGCTCAGCCAGGCCTCTGATGCATCTGCCAGGACCCTCAGGACCAGAAGCTCTGATTATCTGTAGCCTGTATTTTGTCAAGTTATTCAGCATTTTTATTTTACTCTGATTTTCAAGCAAAAGTCAGCTCCTGAAAATGTCAGCCCATCTCACTGTGTTAGGGCCCCAGGGAGGGCATGTCTGCTCCTGGCTTGAGTTTCAGGGGCCACGTTCTCTGAACTCAGGACCCGCACCTCTGAATTGCAGGGGCCAGGTGGGTGGGGAATCCCGAGGGACAGAGGAGGCTTCTGTCCTGAGGACTCTCAGGAAGTCTCAGCAGTGAGCTTTGAGGTGGAGTTTCGACAGTGAGCCGGGCCTCCCTGTGTTGTGGGTTTCGCCCGTGATGTCCCCAGGAAGCATCCTTTCCTCCAGCCGGGACGTGCTGCCCGCCCGGCTTCTAGAAGTCGGTGATGCTGCCGGAAGTGGCTCTGCTGCTCCAGGTGAGCTCATTAGCCTCTGGCGCTGATGGATCCGCTGCCTCATGTGTTTCAGAGAAGAGCAGGCGCGGGAGCTTTACCGCAGGCTGAGGGAGAAACCGAGAGGTGAGTGGACAGCCTCCCAGGTCCCCCACTGCCCAGCACCAGGCTGGCCCCCCCACAGACCGTGCGGCTCTGTCCTGCTTTGCAGACCAGCGGACTGACGGCGACAGCCAGGAAATGGTGCGGCTGCTCCTGCAGGCAATCCAAGGCTTTGAGAAGAAAGTGCGAGTGATTTATACGCAGCTCAGGTATCAGGCTGCCGTCCCCTCCCCTGGGCCCCAAAGGAGCTCCCGCCCGAAGCAGCCGAGCAGAGTCCTCCCTGCCGGGGCTCGCGTCCTGCTCCCCACTGACCCAGGCACGCTGGAGCTCATCGCTCTTGGTCTTCACAGTAAGACCGTGGTCTGCAAGCAGAAGGCCCTGGAGCTGCTGCCCAAGGTGGAGGAGGTGGTCAGCCTGATGAGCGAGGACGAGAAGACGGTGGTGCGGCTGCAGGAGAAGCGGCAGAAGGAGCTCTGGAACCTCCTGAAGATCGCATGTGTGAGTGAGCCCCGGCAGGCCTGTCCTGGAGGCGGCAGGGTCCGCGTCCACATGTCAGCTGGGCCGGGCCCCCTCGGAAGGCTCGAGGGCAGAATCCCTCTCGCCACTTCTCAGACGCCACTGGCTCCAGCACTCCTTGGCTCGTGGCAGCATCACTCCAGTCTCTGCCTCTGACTCTGTGTGGCCACCTTCTCTACGTCTCTCTCTCTCTCTTTCTAAAATTTGTTTCTTTTTGGTGGTACTGGGTCTTTGTTGCTGCCCGCACACTTTCTCTAGTTGCGGTGAGCGGGGGCTATTCTCGAGTTGGCAGCACGCAGGCTTCTCACTGTGGTGGCTTCTCTGGTTGCAGAGCCTGGGCTCTAGGGTGCGCGGGCTTAGCCGCTCCACCGCACATGGAATCTTCCTGGACCAGGGATCGAACCTGTGTCCCCTTCATAGGCAGGCGGACTCTCCTCCACTGTGCCACCAAGGAGGTCCTCTTCTGTGTCTCTTGTGAAAACACTTGTTCCAGGGTCTAGGTCCCACCCAGATAGTCCAGAGCGATCTCATCAAAGGATCCTTAGCTACATCTGCAAAGATTCTTTTTCCAAACGAGGTCACACCCCGGGTTCCTGGAGACCTGCCTTCAGCTCCCGTGGGGCGTGCCTGTGGGGCCCTGAGCCAGGCCTGTGCCACGCAGCGCTCAGCCTGCCCTGCGTGCGCCCACCATCCCGAGGTGGCTGTGATCCCACCGCATGCTGCTCAGAGAGAAACCGCAGCACAGAGGAGAGCCCAGGACAGAGACGGGAGAAGAGCCGAGAAAAGCTTGGAACCCAGCTGGCCGGACAGAGCCCGGCGCGCAGGCAGCAGGGAGGCTGCGGCTGCGGATGCTGACTGCAGAGTCGCTCGGCCACGGGCCGGGGGAGGCCCGCTGCCTCCGGAGCAGTGGCTGCCGCGGCCCAGGAGTCAGAGCACCTCGGCCCCATCTGTTCCCCAGGTGGCGCACGTCCGGAAGTCACCTAGGATCTCCATGTGTTTGTCTTCTCCTTGGGAAGAGTAAACGCACCTTCCTTCTCGTTTCCTTGTAAGGGTTTGTTAAGCAATCCAGCTAATGAAGTAGAAGCCTCAGGGCCTCCCTTGGTGGTCCAGTGGTAAAGAATCCACTTTCCAACGCAGGGGACAAGGTTCGTTCACTGGTCAGGAAACTAAGATCCCACATGCCACAGGGCAACTAAGCCCCCACGCCACAACCAGAGAAGCCTGTGACTGCAATCAAGAGCCTGCAGAGCCAAAAAAACAAAATTAAATGGCCAACGGTTGATTAAAATAAAAAAATCAGAACCCTGAAATCTCTCTGTATTTAGAATCGAAAAAACTTAAATGGCCAATGGTTGATTTAAAAAAAAAAAAGAAAGAAAACCCTCACATCTCTCTGTGTTTAGAACCCTTAATCAAAAAAGTCACACCTGCAGATGCAGAAGCAGTTTCTAAGCCGAAATGCAAACCATCAGACGGCGACATTGCCTGATTTGTGCAGGAAGAGCAAGTGTCTCATGGCCAAGTGGCTCATGAGAAAACCTCCTGCCGTGAAAGCAGAGTTTCAGGCATCCCTTTGCCCCCAGACTGCTGACTCTTTCTGGTTTTGCCCTCTAGAGCAAGGTCCGGGGTCCCGTCAGTGGAAGCCCGGACAGCATGAACGCCTCCCGCCTGAGTCACCCTGGCCAGCTGATGTCGCAGCACTGCGCGGCTTCCGACAGCTTGCCCGAGGCCGCCAAGAAGAGGTCAGTCCTCATCCGTGGTGCCCAGTGCTGAAGTCCGGGGCATGTTGGGAGGTCTTGGGCGCAGAAGCACGGGTCTCTTGTTGGTGACCCGTGTCACCCATCCGTAGCTCCGTGCGCGCCCGTTGGCGTCTGTACCCTATGCCAGGCGTGGTGGGGGTGGACATGGTGTGTTGCTCGCAGAGCTGCTTGAGACCTGCCCAGACAGATTTCCTTATCTGAGGCCGGGTTGCTCTCACTGGCTGGGAACCTTCTGTCCAGCGCTGACCAGTCCTGTGCTGTCCCCTTGTCCGTCCATCACTATCTGCTCATAGAAGCAGATCCCCAGGTGTCCGCTGGTCAGCGCACCCCAGTCACACATCGCTGGTTCCTCCTGTGGTCCCTCCCCCCACACCCCGTTCACCCCTCCCCGCCCTGCCTGCTGCGCACTCCCCTGCTGCAGAGCTGGGTGTGCAGCCTCAGAGCCCTTCCTGTGAGGTTTTCCCTCCCTGCCTACTGCCCATTGCTACCCCAGGCCCCCTCTGGTCAAATCCGTCTTCATGGGAGACTGTTTTGATCGAGTTATTCTTCCGGAATATTCTGGAATATTCAGGGACCAGCCATGGCGGCCCGCTGCCTCGGGGCCAAGGCTGAGCCTTTTCCAGCCTCCAAGCGTCCTCTCCAGGCTCACCCCCGCTCCCAAGCAGCTCCTGGCTCTGCCCGGGGGTCTTAGAGCCTGGTCCAGACCAGCAGCATGAGTGGGTTCTGGGCTCTCGCTGGAGGTACAGGTTCAGGATCGGCAGCCCTGGGTAACCAGGCCGGGCTGACCCCGCTGCGTCCTGGAGTCCCGGGTCCTCAGCTCTGCTGACGCCCTGCCTCCCATCCCCTCTGCGGTGTGGATAGACACGCACAGATCGCCGTCTCCTGAGACCCCCATGTGGTTTCTTGTTTCTGGTTCAGTCTCACACCCGTTTCTTCAGAGCCGTCCCTTGCTGGGCCCAGGCACTGAAGACGGCTAAAATCGATGCCTAAGGGAAATCTACAGACTAGAAAGTAGACTGATTGCTGAGGGAGGGGAGTGACTGGCAACAGGTACAGGGTCTCCTCTTGGTGATGCAGACGGTTGAGAACTAGACCTCCGCGGTGGTTGCACGACGCTGTAAGTGCACTGGAAGGGTGTAGCCGTGCACCTCGAATGGGTGAATTTTGTGGTTTGTGAGTGTGTCTCAGTAGAGCTGTTTTCAAACAGTCCTGTTCCCGTACTTTGGGGAGTTTGTAGCCTGTACTGTTTGGGATTTTTTTTTTTTTTTTCTATTTCTCTTGTTGGCCTCTTGGCTTGCAGAATGTATTTCCCAGCAGGGACTGAACCTGGCCCTCGGCAGTGAAAGTGGCAGAGTCCTAACCACTGGGCCGCCAGAGGATTCCCCGTGTTGGATTCTTAATTCTCTCCCCAACTTCCGGTTAGCTCCCTGAGGGTGGCAACCAGGTCCGGGGCCTCTGGGGCGGGCACAGAGCCTGGTGCCTGGTCAGTGGCCAGTGGCTGAGTCTGGGCTCTGCTCCTCCCACCAGCGCCCCCTTTGCGGTGAGAGGGGGAACTGCGGGGCCCTTCCTGTTGGGCTTGTCGGGTTCCTCCAGGAGATCCTCAAAGCGCTGGGAAAGGCGTCCTGGGGGCGCAGGCTGCAGTCTGTCTGCCCACATCCTGGAGCCAAGGTTAGAACAGGACAGGTGGCTTGCTTTGCTCTCGCTTTTCTCAGCCACGGCCTGTTCTCGGGATGTGTGCGTTTCTTCCCGTAGAGAAGGTGGGACGTGTGCAATTCTCATCATAGGAAAGGCGAGAGGGCAGCAGATGAATCAGTTCCTAGAACAGGCTGCTCCCAGTCTCAGAGAGCAGAGGACACTGGGGAAGTCTCGTGGTCTGTAGGTCTTTGTCAGTTTCAAAAACTGTGAAACAGGTGATCAGATTGTGGCAGTTTAAGAGAGAACCTAAGAGATCTCTTCGGCTGCGAACTTTTTTATCAGGCCAGACCTGTGGCTTTCTCACGTTGTGAATGGCGATGCTCACAGCTGGCTTCAAGCTTCTGTAACAGCGCTCAAGAAGACAGATGAAATCGCTGAGGCCGTGTCATATGTTTTAAGACACTCAGTATCAGAATAATCGTTTAATTTTTAAAATCTTTCCAGAAGCCCTTTAGCATATCTGTACGCAGTAATCTATTACTTTTGAAAAGTTCACACTGACCGTGTTCTAATAATCAATCCTTCTCTGCAGTGAAGACCTGGTGGCCGAAGCGCACACCCTGTGCGCCCAGCTGGAGAACGCCCTGCAGGACACCATGAAGGAGCAGGACCAGAGTTTGCGGGTAACGGCCCATGGGGACCCCTACTGCACCACACCTTTCCTTTTCTGCAGCCAACAAGGAGAAGCTGAGAGAGAGGCGCCGCCTTGCCTCCTTGATCTCGGTGTACACTTGGGGTTTTCTGGTACATCCTTTTTATTCATCATGATAGCAGGGCTGGCGGCTGTTGTTTGAGCGCAGGTACCTCACGTGCTCTATCTCCTTTCATCCTCACCACGCTTGGTCCTCACGAGGCAGGTGACATCCCTGTGGGAAGGCCTCTCTCCCACTCTTCCTTCTGTGCAGTTGCTGGGCATGCCCGTAGGAGGTGCAGTGCTAGGCTCCAGGGACAAAGCCATCACCACCCCATCTCTCAGGGACTCGGAGCTTAGGGACTCAGCAAGACTAGCTCTAGGGAAGCTGATCTAAAGAAAAATGAGTCCAGGTGCAGAGACATCGAGGCAAAGCTGAACTTGCTGAGAGGATGCTTGATCATCCGCTTGGGTCTTTTAATGGCCATTTCCTGCCAATACAGTCTTGGTTTGGGGAGACTGGAACTTCTCGGTTTGGGGAAGGATTGGAGGGATCGCTACCAGTGATGATCACCTCTTATCTCTTCAAGTGTCCTTCTCTGGATTGGTGCTTTCTGTGTCTCCTTGCTGCTCTTCCTCCTCTGAGCCCTATATGTTTTGATCCTTGCACTGCCTGTTTGCTTCTGCTGGAGGAAAAGGAAGTCTGGCCAGGTGGTTCCACCTGGTGAGGCTGGAGGTGGAGAGCTGAGATGAGCCCTGGGCACCTGGGCGTGCAGTGGGCATAGGTCAGTGCTGTGAGCTGCAGGAATAACACTTAAATTGCCTGGCCAGAGTCTCAGGGGCTCCACACCCATCTGAAGATACGCTCCTGCACGGTCTTAAAGACATAGCTCTGGCTCTGGGGTCCCTTGCAGAAACTCGACTATCTCAATGAAAGGCTCTTGCCTGCCTTCTAAATCATGCTGGTTGCCTCCCGAAGAAGAAAACCAGGTGCCAGGGTGGCTGCAGAGTTGTTAACATGCCCGTTGACTTTCAGTCTCTAGACTGGAGCTGGTTGCATTCGGAGGAGGAGGAACAGCAGAGCCTGGAGCGGGCCTCGTGACGGTGGGCAGCCCTGGCCATGGTGGGCTGCCTGGCCCAAGGCCCCAGCATCATCGTGCCTGGTGTCCTTGGCACCCAGATGGAGATCGCGCTCCTCCAGCAGCCGTGACGGTCACCGTGGACCGAAGGCGTGGCCCTCCGTGGGCACGGCCAGCAGCTCGTCCGCTCGCCGGATTTCCTCTGCTTTAGAGGCCCAGCGGACGTGGATCCGGGGGAGCAGCATGTAGGAGATGCTGCCGGGGCCGCCACCGCCCCCGCGTGGGGAGAGGAGTGCTCCAGACACGGTGGCCGCACCCAGCTGGCTCCCAGGACGAAGTCTGAGCGGCGCTCAGTGCCGCCTGCCTCCTCCTGACCCCTCCTGCTCTCCAGAGGAGGCCAGTCTTCATGGTTCACGGTTCTCCTGGATCTGGCTTCTCTTGAGCAGACCTCGAAACCGCGGATCCTGCCCTGCCCCATCCTCCTTCCTCCTGTGATCTCACTGCTGCTAACGTTTGTCCTTCCACCTGCGACCTGCAGCCAGGCTGCGGTCCTTCCAGCCAGCGTGACTGTCTGGAGCCAGGAGGGAACAGCATCTCCCTTCCTGCAGGTCCCAAAGAGTCCCTGGGAGCGAGCTACCTTGGAGAAGAAGGAAAGAAGGAAGGGGTGTCTGTCACCCACCAGCCTGCTGACCCCCTGTGCCCACAGCCCTGCCCCGTGTGTGGCCGTGGGGGGATGGGGGAGGTCCCGCCCCTCGTATCCTCTCGCGGTATTATTTAGTGAATGTATTTAAAAAACAGATTCTCTTATTTTGCAACATGACTCAGATCCCACTATTTTTATAATACCTCTGGTTAGGACTTAACAAACTCAAAACCCAACTGCAATGGAACGTTTGAAGAAATCAAGCGGTGCCAGAGCCCGCACTGCCTCTCTGTCGTCTCACAAAAGCTTCTCCTCCATGTAACAGAAGGACTGCATGGTGAGCTTGGGTGATCCCGAGCAGGCAGGTGTGGTTGGAGAAGAAAGCCGGACAAGAAGAATTTCACAGAGTGCCTTCCGTGGAGGCGGTACCATGGGTTCCATGTAAAGGACGTTTGGGGAACAGCGGTTCATGCTTTAAGTGCCTCTTAGAGATTCACACTGTGCACTGGTTTACTGAAGGATCTGAAAGTCCTGTGATAATAAACTGGCTTACTTCTGCCTAAATCCACTGTTTTCCCAACTCGCTTGATAGTAACACCTTTTATTTTTCTGCCATGTGCATGTAACATTGATGTAACTCCCAAAGAACTACAGTGTGATAAAGCATGATTTTGGAAACACTGGCGAAGAACACAGTGGGAATTTAGACCGGAATGGTAGGCTGGGATGGGGTCAGATCAGGGAGGGAATGATTGTCAAACTAAGAGTCAGGGGCCAATTTCAATGGCAGTTGGAAGTCACTGAAGAATTCTGAGTAAGGAACCATCACCAAAGTTCATGCTTCAAAAGAGTAACATGGGGACTTCCCTGGTGGTGCAGGGGTTAAGAATCCGCCTTCCAGTGCAGGAGACATGAGTTCGATCCCTGGTCGAGGAACTAAGATCCCACGTGCCAGGGGGCAGCTAAGCCCACACACCACAGCTAGAGAGACCGCAGGGGAAGATCCAACATGCGGCAACTAAGACTCAATGCAGCAAAATAAATAGAAAATTTTAAATACAAAAGTGATAAAAGAGTAATATAACTCGGAAATGTTAATAGGTTGAAAAAATGAAAACCCTGGAGGTTGGACTCCTACTTCCAGAAAGTGAAGCAGATGTGCTTCCCCACCTTCTAGTACAGCTGAGACCCTGGGACGTTATTTACAAACAGAAGACTCTGAAAGATAGAAAAATGCAGAGCCCCGGGGACCTTGGCCCTGAGCAGTCACATGCGGTGAGCTCCCCGGGAACTCCTCTTGCCCACGTGTGTCCCTGGCGGGCTCTGGAAACACCAACCAATGACAATACCCTTCAAGATAAAAGTCTCAGAAAAATAGAACTAGCAGGAAACGTCAACTGAATGAGTAACATCTACAAAAAACCAACAACTACCACTTTACTTAATGGTGAAAGACTGATTGTTTTCCCCTTCCAATTCAAATAAAGCAGGGATATCCTCTCTCACTTCTGTTATTTAACATAGTACTAGAGGTGTTGGCACAATAAGGCAAGAGAAAGAAATAAAAGACATAGGGATTGGAAGTGAGATAAAAGTGTCCTTATTTGCAGATGGCGTGATGGTTTATGTTGTTTTTCAGTTGCTCAGTTGTATCCAACTCTTTGCAACCCCATGGACTGCAGCATGCCAGGCTTCCCTGCCCTTCAGTGTCTCCCAGAGCTTGCTCAAACTCATGTCCATTGAGTCTGTGAGGTCATCCAGCCATCTCATCCTTTGTCACATACTGGTGCTCCTGTCCTCAATCTATCCCAGTGTCAGGGTCTTTTCCAGTCAGTCAGCTCTTCACATCAGGTGACCCAAGTATCGGAGCTTTAGCTTCGGCATCAGTCCTTCCAGTAAATATTCAGGGTCGATTTCCTTTAGGATGGACTGGTTTGATCTCCTTGCTGACAGGGGACTCTCAAGAGTCTGCTCCAATACCACAGTTCGAAAGCATCAATTCTTTGGCACTCAGCTTTTTTATAGTCCAACTCTCACATCCCTGCATGACTGCTGGAAAAACCATAGCTTTGACTATATGGATCTTTGTCGGCAAAGTGATGTCTCTGCTTTTCAATCTTCTGTCTAGGTTTGTCGTAGCTTTTCTTCCAAGGAGCAAGCGTCTTAATGTCATGCTTTAGTCACCATTTGCAGTGATTCTGGAGCCCAAGAAAATAATGTCTGTTGTTGTTTCCACTGTTTCCCAATCTGTTTGCCAGGTAGAAATTTCAAAGAATCTACAAAAGCTCTCCTAAAACTAAAGAGTGACAGGATACAAGATAAACATTCAAAATTCTATACTAGATGAGAACATGAAACCCAAAATTAAAAATACACTAGCATTTATAATTAACCCAAAACCAAATTAATACTTAGATGTACTAGTATCCAACATCCAAATAGCTCATATACCTCGATATATATATATATTTTTAAAACGCAACCTGATTAAAAAATGGGTAGAAGACCTGAAGAGAAATTTTTCCAAAAAGGAAATGCAGAGAGCCAACAGGCACATGAAAAGATGCTCAGCTGATCATCAGAGAAATGCAAATCAAAACCACGGTGCGATATCACCTCACATCTGTCAGAGTGGCTGTCATCAAAAAGAACACAAGTAACAAATGTTGGCAAGTGTGTGGAGAAGAGGGATGTCCAGAACACTGTTGCTGGGAATGTAAATTGGTACAGCCACTATGGAAAAGTATGGAGGCTTTTCAGAAAAATGGAAAATAGTACTACCATATGACCCAGCAATTGCACTGCTGAGTATATATAAGAAAAAAAAAACCACTAATTACATAATTACTAAGTACATATGCATCTCAGTGTTCATAGCAGCATTATTTGTGATTGTCGAGATATGGAAACAACATAAATGTCCATCAACAGATACAGGGGTAGAGAAAATGTGGTATATATACAATGGAATACTGTAAAAAAAGAATGGAATTGCCACTGGTAGCAACCTGGATGGGCTCGGCAGACATTATGCCAAGTGAGATAAGTCAGAGAAAAATACAGCGTGATATGACTTAGATGTGGAATCTACAAAGTACAACAAACCTGTGACTGTAACGAAGAAGAAATAGGCTCACAGACACAGAGAACTCACTAGTGGCTACGATGGGGACAGGGAAGCTGGGAGGGAAAACATTCGGGAGAGGAGGTATCGGTACACATGACCGGTGTAAGACGGGCTCAGGGGTGTATTGTACACACAGGGAATGTAGCCCACATTTTGTAGTAACTATAAATGGAGTGTAACCTTTAACATTGTATAAAAATAATAACAATAGATCCCAAGAACCTCCCCCCCAAAAAACTAGATGTAAACCTAACAAAACATGTGTAGGACTTGTATGCTGAAAACTGTAAAAATGAGGATGAAGGAATCCAAAGGACTAAATAAATGAAATATGATTGAGAAATAGCATGTTCATGGATTGGATGACCTAGTGATTTAAAGTATCAGTTCTCCCCACGTTAATAATCAGGCTGAATAATTTCTATCAAAATCCAAACAATACTTTTTGTAGGTATAGGCAAAATCATTCTAAAATTAGAATGATTTTAGCTTAGGAGCTAAAATAATTATGAAAGAGAAGAGTGAGCTGGAAGTAATAACACTACCCAGTTTCAAGACATTACAGTCAGGACTGTGATGTTAGATAAATGGACACATCATAGATCAATTGAGTAGAATAGAGGGCCAAGAAATAGCCCCACACAAGTACACAGCTGATTTTTATTTTTAATTAAAAAAAATTTTTTTTTTTTGGACACAGCTGATTTTTTACAAACGTGCAAAAGTAACTCAATGGAGAAAGGACAGTCTTCTGTTTGTTTGTTTGTTTGTTTGTTTGTTTGTTTTAGCCATACCACACGCCTTGCAGGATCTTAGTTCCCCGACCAGGGACTGAATCCCAGGCCACGACAGTGAGAGGCAAGTCCTAACCCCTGGAACACCAGGGAATCCTGAAAGATAGTCTTTTTTAACAAATAGTTGTATTTCCATTAGCAAAAAAAAAAAAAGATCATAAACTTAAGTATAAAATGTGAAACTATAAAACTGATGAGAAAAATGCATAAAATTTTCCAGGTGTAGAGCTTGGTGAAGTTTTCAGGCATTATATCGAAACTATGGTCCATAAAATTTTAAAAATAAAGTAGACTCTATCAAAATTGAGAACTTTTCCTCTGTGAAAGATACTTAAGGGAATGAAAAGCTATAGACTTGGAGAAAATATTTGCAAGCCATATAGTTCACAAAATATTCCTCTAGAATATATAAAGAATACTCAAAGTCATCTTTTTAAATTAACAATCTCCATAGAAAATGGACAAAAGCCATGGAGAGACATTTCACAAAAAAACAATTATTTATACGCACACATGAATGGCAGTCATGTAAATAGATGGTCATTATAACTGGTTACTGCTGCTGCTGCTAAGTTGCTTCAGTCGTGTCCGACTCTGTGCAACCCCATAGACGGCAGCCCACCAGGCTCTGCTGTCCCTGGGATTCTCCAGGCAAGAACACTGGAGTGGGTTGCCAGTTCCTTCTCCAATGCATGAAAGTGAAGTCGTTCAGTTGTGTCCGAATCTTAGTGACCCCATGGACTGCAGTCTACCAGGCTCCTCCATCCATGGGATTGTCCAGGCGAGAGTACTGGAGTGGGGTGCCATTGCCTTCTCCGAACTGGTCACTAGAGAAATGCAAATTAAAATGATTCATGATAAGACATTATCACTTATCAAAATGGCTAACTTAAAAAATAGTGACAATGTGACATGAACCCGCAGGAAACAGAGTCACTCATACATTGCTCATGGCATGTGAACCGGTGCTCTGGCATGGTTTGGCCGTTTATTAGGATAAACTAAATGGATACCATATGCCTCAGCAATCAATCATTATTCTTGGCGTTTATCCTAGAGAAATGAAATCTTATGTCCACACAGAAGGGTGTTCATTGCAGCTTTATTTTTAATGGCTAATAACTGGAAACAACACTTCCTACAACAGGTGAATAGTTAAACTATGATACACCACAGCTTGGAGATCTCAGGAATAAAAAAGCACGAACTATTGGTACGGGCAACAATTTGGATGAATCTCAAGGACGTTATTTCAAGTGAAAAAAAAACAGCTGGTCTCAAACAGTCACACACTGCGTAGTTCCATTTATAGTATCTTTCTCAGAATGACTTATGAAATGGAGAATACAGGGAAATTAGTGATTTCCTGGAATTAGGAATGTTGGAGGGTGGATATTTAAGCGTAATCCAAAGAAGATGCTTATGTTGTGGTAGAATTCTGTATCTTGATTCTGGTGTGTGCTTGCAGGCATGCCTAGCCACTTCAGTCGTGTCTGACTCTGTGCGACCCCATGGCCTGTAGCCTGCTTGACTGCTCTGTCCATGGGATTCTCCAGGCAAGAATACTGGAGTGGGGTGCCCCTCCTCCGGGGGGGCTTCCTGATCCAGGGATTGAACCTGAATCTCCCACATTGCAGATGGACTCTT